TCTATAGTTTTTCTATTTACACTAATATAAACAGATTTTGAGGTTGTCTGTACTGTATGTAGTTGCTGTGGTTACAGCAAGAAATGTAAAGTGCCTGTAAGAAAGGGGACCATAGAGTCCCGTGTCTCAGCATCTTAATACTGTATACTCAAATAAGATGAAAACATCTCAGGAGCCTCACACTTTTCTTTCCTTAAGCTCCCCACCGTGACTCTGTTCCTATCTAATACACACTTCTTAAAAGGCTAGAAAACAGAAGCTCTTATTCCCTTTACTTTATGCCGTACCTCTAGAAAATATATCCACTACCTGCATTAAAAATGCCAACCAGAAGTGCTAAAGCACATTTTTATACTTCAGGTAAAATGTCACATAAGAAAATGAACATCAAAAAAAAAAAAGAAAAAAGAAAATGAATATCCAAGCCCTGCTGCCCCAACGTAATCGTCTTCACTGTATTTTTTTGCCCATCATGAAGGCCAAGATGTTCTGCAAAGATAAAGAAAACTAAAACTTTCAAACAGAACCTTCAATATAATGTGAAAGATCTATTTTATAAATGCTATTACAGCAAGATTAAATATATTCAGATGCTTTAGCATATGATAATTTTAACCAAATTATTAAGTTATATGACTTTCAAAATTAGTATCAAAACAGGATATTTAAATCCAGCCACATGTACAGAGGTATAAATTTTTGTTCTTTTCAAAGCTGAGCACAATTATACTAAATGAGATGTTTGTTTACACCCAAAAGTAGCATATTAGAAACTCACAAGCATTCTCCTTTGCTTAATTCCACTTACGTTACATATAAATTGCCAATATGACTGTTCATGAGGCTTTATATTTTATTTGGAAATAATGCTGTTAAAATGATTTTGGTATTTTCCTACATGAACTTACATTGTTTTTTTCCCAGCTGTAATCTTGGTTTTATGTACACAGCTACCATCTTATTTTTGATGTATACCCTAGAAGGGTAGAAAAACCAACCAAAGTCATGTTTTGTAAATGTGGTATAAGATTTCATGCATTCTCATGGTATGATGTCAATAATCAACTATACTAAACCAACTGTAACAATGTAGTACATGCTTTAAATATCCAAGAATACACTGCAGACAATATCTCAGTGGTAAGGGAATGTGCTGGTATCACACCGGACTCATGTGGTAGCAATTCAGGAGACTAAACACATAATTATTCAAATTAAAACATAAAAATAATAAAAGGTATAGATTTTCAGGTCTACTTTACAGAATGTTTGTCTGTGAGGAAATTACAAAACAGATGGGTTTTAAAGGAATTTTTAATACACAACAAGTAATTTCTTGTAGTGATGTGAAAAAGTTCGAGAACATATGAACAAAGCTTAGTACTTTAAGATTTACTGTTGTAAAAGCATGATGATAAATATTAAATGTTTTATCTGCATTTGAACATTAAAGCAAATATAAAACACAAAAATCCAACCTTAATACTGATCTTCCATGTCTAATTTGGGTTTAAGATATTGAGTAATTTATGTTTTATAGAAACTTTCAAAGTTTCATCAATGTTTTTATTGTATGTAGTAATACTCTTTACCAAAACCTTCACTGAAATTTAAAAAGCTGGTGTTGAGTAGTTATTTTTCTTGAATATTCTATAACATGCCATTTTTAACTAACCTTCAAAATTTCAGAACATGAAAGATACATGAATACCCAAAAATATGTTTTAACACAAGTTAATTTTGCTTATAATTATAACAGAAACACCTTTAAAGATAGTAAAAGACAAACCAAAAAACCCTACACAAATATAAAAGGTGTTTTGGGTCAAGTTATTTCCTAGTACAAATAATATACCATGT